TTTCTTTCAACATTTGGCTTGGGTCGGTGACCACCGTACTGCCACCCTGCTGAATTTTGGTTGCCCCTGGTGCCATCGTACTACCACCCTTCACCTCTTTCACCGGCCAGGTAGACCCGGTGAAGCTGGGCGAGAACATCCAGCGCCTCGTCAGATTCGCTGGTTGTCGCAAGCCACCGGAACCCAATTGCTATGACATCGGGTAGAGGTCTGGCCGCAGCAACATGTCTTTAATAGGCATTAGGACTGATCTCTTTGCATCCATCCCACGGCCACTTGGCACTAAAGCAACACGAGCACCATCGAGCATCCATCATCACCGGAATATACAGTACCTGCAACCTCGTGGTGACTCTTTTTTTTTGGGGGAAGGGGCAGTGCAACATACCTTTAGGTCTGTGACCCACATAAACAATTGAAAAACGCGTTCCGGAAAAACGCACGTGGCTCACCAATAAACGCCCATGGCTTGTGTATAAACGAATATGAGATAAACACAGAAAACTAGAGAAACGGTCCGCAGACTCAAATATCAGGCTGTGACTCTAAAATAAGTTTTTCACACCGCAAATAAAAAGATGAAGTTCCAGGTATATGAAGATATACGGTACATAAGATATTCATAGGATGGACAATAGAAATAAATAACCCAATATATTGATAATAATGACATCCATGTTTGCCAAACAAAGCACACCGCGCTTGGGGACCTTCCGGTTCAGCGGCTTAGCCGCCGCTGCTTCCCGCCTCGGAAGAAGTGGATCGACAGGAGCTTGTGTCAAGCAGCCAACCCCCTGGGCAAGTCGATTGACTTGGTGCACCAGGCGGGGGGTGGAACGGGTGGAACGGGTGGAACCCAACGGGTGGAACAGGGAAGAAAGGACAGCACAGATGCCGTGTGCTGGACGAGGTGTTCCAGCGACTGGCAGGTTCGTAAGCCAGGCATCCGATCCGAATGTTTTGAGACCCTCCACAAGGATCCACAGGGTTGGTTGATGCTTGCAGAGAGGGGTCTCTAGCATTTAAGCCATTGGCCTGGGATCTCCTGCATGCCAGTGTCGAAAGGAAACCATAAAATGAACTCAATGAACACCATGTTTGTGGTGATGCCGTTGGTAGACTAAACTGACTAAACTAAACCCTATTCCCGCCTGACACTGAGAATGCGGTATTGTAATGTTGCATCAATTGGTCCATTATTTAACCAAATGTTTGTAGGAGGCCCCATCCATCCTATCCATCTTTGGAACACTGTCAGGAATCAAGGCATTGAATAAAGTAGGAATCCTATAGGTCCTAGAAAGTACGCCCAAGGCGGTTCAAGGGTCGTTGTCATTTCTGCTGTATTGTAATCAATTTCCCATGTCATCCATCCATCTCGCGAGGATATCGCCAACATGGGCAAAGAGTTGGACCATTGGAAGCAGGCCTATCGCGAGGCGAGTGGAATCGACGAACGCGAGTGGAGATGGTTTGGGTGTCATGCTAGAGACTCTGAGACCTGATGTTTATATAATATATACATTTACTATCATTTACTGGTAGTAAGAATGCTCCTAGTAGCGATGCCCAGGAGCCCCTAGTACTAGTAGCGTCCTTGCCCTAGTAGCATGGCCAGGAGCCCCTAGTAGCTTCTTGTTGCTATTGAACAGTGTTCATTTCACCGATGTACTGGGACCTATCCACTTGTTGGACTTGGACTTGAACATGCGAGTCGGTCGGTCTATATATTTGTTCATCTACATTCCAGACCATTCCAGGATCCCGCAGGTAGGAGCAGACCCTCCAGAGACCATTGTCACGATATGGAACCTCCAAACCACTCATTCTGAGGAAGCTAGTCTTCCTTGCAGATCCAGCTTCCATATGGGCCTCTTCCCAGGAGTGGGTGTGTATTGTTTTGCATTGTTGGTGCGAAAAAAGGGACCTCCGAGCAACCCTCAGACTTATGAGTTGGATGGGTGCCCCAAAAATCGCGGCTACGGCTTTTTCTAGACGATGGAGGACACTGGCTTGAGATTTGGGCCCAGATTTGGAAGGTTAAGCTTTCAAGCTGCAAGACAGCCTGGCAAAGGGACACATTACTTAAAGATTGGTCAAGAGAAAGAATCTGAGGTTCGCCACGCAAGTTGGACCCTCATTGTGTGAAAGATTTGGCAACCATCAACGCTGATGATAAGGATTGATAATGTATTACATGGTATAACCATTGAGATGTGCGGGTGGTTCCTGAGGGTCCAGCCTCATGGGTGAGTTGTTTTGTGTTTTTCCACTGGATTGCCATAGTGATGAACTCCGGGGTCACTCGAAGCAGCTGCATTTGATCGAGGCCAGCGACGCTTACACCAGGCAGCTGAAGATGACCGAGGACCAGGGGGCCAAGGGTGGTTCAACACCGTTGCAGACCCAGCCCCCAACAGCTTAATTTAAAGCTAAAATCCTGCTAATTACATGTCCTCCTAAGTATCAATAAGATGGAGCATATTGGAGCATTCTCCGTTCCTGCTCCCGTTTTCGGGCTGAAGTGCCTGTGAGGATCAGCTACAACCTCTCTATCAACAGATAGCAGAGCTGGATGACAAGATTGCGGAACAGAGACTTGCCCCGAGACCGGTTGAGCAGCCTCCTTGTTCGATCGAAACATTTTTGGGCACCAATGCTTCGTTAATCGTTATGTATTTTACTTTCAAAGGAGCATTCACCATTGATATATCAATGGGATACCTATCAAAAAGAAAAACATATATATCAATAAAACAATTGAGCCACGCTGAAAACCTCCCCCCGCGTAAGCTAAAACTGCGGTCGCGTAAGCTCTGCGTAAGCTTTGGCGTAAGCCAGACATTTCCAGGTTATGTCATATCGATGCTGCGTAAGCAAAGCCTGCAATGGCGTAGGGTGGCGTAAGCAGCGGCGTAAGCAACACCCCCGCGTAAGCTGAAACTGCGGTCGCGTAAGCGCCGCGTAAGTTTTCGCGTAAGGCAGTTCTTACGACATAGGAATCTATCAAGGTTTTCAGCATGGCTCAATTGATTCCTACCAACAAAAACTCATATCAAAATAACATAATTATATATTCCTCCCTTTGTCCTGGTCCTTTGGTCCCTTGGTCCTTTTGGTCCTTGGGTCTGTACTTTTGAGGCAAGACGCGTTAAGGGTGATTTGGAAATCTCCTGCTTGAGATCCACAGAAATGTTACGCCTGCCACCCAATCTGAACTTCGCGCGCCTGCCACGAAATTTGCACTTCGAGGTTCACGAAGCGCTGCGCCTGCCACGAAATCTGCACTTCCAGTGCACAAAGTGCCGCGCCTGCCAGGAAATCTGCACTTCGAGTGCACAAAGTGCCGTGCCTGCCATGAAATCTGCAACTGAAGGCACTCAAAGTGTTGCGCCTGCCACGAAATCTGCACATCAAGATCCACATCGCGCAGCCCTGCCAAAGCGGTTCGCAGTGGCAGGCGCAGCTCTTTGTGAAGGGACAGTTATTTTGATATAGCTTAATTTTTCCTTTGGATAAGATACTTAAACTTGCTTTTTGATCAAACTTTATTTTCTTTTTGATAGCCCGGCCTATATCAATCCTTAGCTTGAGACTACTCGGTAATCTCCATTCTTTTTGATCCCCACCAGATGAGAGCGTTTCCTGTATCAAGCTCCAAGAAACGAAGGGTGCCATGATTCCATGTTTTGCAAATCGCTTCACATTGTTGGCCCCCAGAAAACTGTTTCTGATTCCTTTGTTTGCAAGACGTCTTTTTCCGGATGGAGGGTAGCTTTCGAAGCCAAAAAAACCTGTCTCAGAGAGGCAAAACCAGCCTTCGCAACAGCCGCCCAGTCCAGCCAAGGAGGTCGAAGATCCGGAATAGCAGGTCCAGGATCTCCAAGAACGATCAGAAAGTTCAGCAGTTGCTTGGTTTGGCCACTTCAGTGTGACGCTTGAAAGCGGTGGTGTGTGCCTTTTTTGGCTGTCCCGTGGATTCAATCCAACGTCCCTGCGGTCGCTCGCAAACGCCCAGGTTGCTGGAGTCGGTGGTCATGGTGCGGTGAAGGTCATGCGGCCCGAGGAGCATGTACAGTGAAGACCCTCGGGACCCAGAGCCGTTATGGTGATCTCAAAAAGGGACAGTGAAGAAGACATCACTGTAACACACCAAAATCACTTGAGCATAGATAAGCATAGTATGATGGATCGAATTGTTGCCCATATATGTAATTCATGGTAATTCTATAATTATGTTGACTCGTTTTGCGGAAGGTTGTCCCTTAGTTTTGAGACCTTCAGGATCCAAAGTTGGCAAATGGCCGGTAGCTCGTTCTGTTCATCTCACCCGCCCTCGTTCAGCAGGTCTCGGGCACACCCTTCAATTTGCAAGGCTGTGCCACATCGGTTTGGCTGTTTGGAATGCATGATTTGAAGCAATGCTGACGATCCTTGCCGTGCATGCCCCACTCAAGAGAGTGCAAGACTGAAGTACCAGAAAAGAAAGCGTCAAAAGGCCTGAGAGCTCTCAGCATGAAGTGTTTTCTTCCCTGATTTGGCAGTTAGAACTTCATTGATTGGGTGACCACATATATATATATATATAATATTATACAGTTTTTAAGAGTTTTTATTTGTACATATATACTTATACACATTTTTATAGGTATGTTTATTTGCATACACATATGGACACCACTCCAAAAATGAAGCTTGTGCTCCGAGTGTTGTCGACCAGCATCAAATACCGAGAGACGAGAGACCATGAAATCTCGAACTATGTGACCAATATCAGTTGCAGTCAACATAACAGAGTGCCAAAGCGGTCCGATGCTTTTAAGTCAACATATTTTGGAGTGAAAGTGCATCTCGTAAATATCAATGCTAGTGAACAGGTGGGTTCGTGCTGACATAGCTTCAGCTTGAGCTGGGAGGAGAAAAAATACAAATAAACAGACATTTCTGCTTGGAGTGTTTGGCGCAGGCACTGTGTTTCTTTTGCTTCCACGCTGCTCCAGGATCGACCCCACTGCAAACCACACAACGCCACCAAGCGCCACGCTGCCAAGCGCAACGCCGCCAAGTGCCACGCTGCCAAGCCCTACGCTGCCAAGCCCTATGCAGGGCACCAGCCTGGGCGGGTGGAGGTCTCAGTTCGTCTCAGCAGGTCGCTGTTCGAAGCTACGCCAGGTCCAAGGTGTGAGATATTTTGGAAAAACCATGTATTTGTTCACAAACGCAAAAGTTCTAAGTATAAGTCTGCAAGTATCGTACAGACCCCCAGGTTTTTGGGGCATGGTAAGTATCGACCAATCATGGGGCGAGTCCGAGCACGTCATTGACATGTTCCATACATTGGCCTGGCAAGTATCGACCACACCTGAAAATAATCCTGAGGAGTTGCAATTGTTTCACTGCGTGCAGATGCGTGCAGATCGGTGCCATGGTTCCTGAAACACGAGTCTACAGGTTGACCGATAATATGATCATTATATTATGATGACATCCAGTCCCCTTTTTTCAGTTCCATTCCTTCGCTCCGTCGGGGTTGCTCCGAGGCTGGGCTTGACTCCACCGGCAGGTCTCACGGTGGAGTGGCTGGGCGGACCATGTTGGAAGATCCAAAAAAGTCCACCATGGTCATCTATCCCAGACCGTCCATGGGACTGGAATAGTTACATACATTTACACGATTTAAATTCCCAATACTGTTTTGGTAACTATTCCATACATGGATGGTATGTGTATGATCAGTTATGGTCTATGATCTATGAAACTCTGAATGAACACATCACATGAAACGGGGGTTATAAGGTTCCCCGTGGTTCCCTTGTTTTTTGGAAAATGGTTTTCCAAGGGACCCCTTGTTCAGTTCATCCATTTTCCAGTTCCATGTGTCCATGTGATGTGTTCGTCCAGAGCGTTTTGTTTTCGCAGCGAGATCGATTTCACGAGCAAAACCTGGTGCTGAATTCTCCATGGGTGTCCATGGATGTCACATCTAACAAGAATGCCATGACATGGTAAGGAGCCACAGTCCAACCGCATGGCCATCCCACACCCCTCAAAGGCCCCTCATAGAAACTTGACTGGAGAAAAGTTGGGCTCGTTCCATGCCCTCTCGTGGGAAGAAACCTGAACTCTGAGGCCCATGAGGTTGAATTCCACCTTGCCCTCTGCAGTTGCCTCAGACCTCAAGGATTTGCGATGCTGGAAAGTACGGGACCCGGAAGTTTGTTCGACAACCGATTTTTATGTTTCTCTCTCTCTCTCTCTATATATATATGCTCACTTCTCAGGAAGGTCCAAGTTCATCTACCTCTACCCATTCCTTCCGCCTTTTTGAGCATTTCGACTGCTTCAATCTGCTTCAAATGCCACGCCTTGCCGCGCCCACTCGCCAGACCCCGAGGTGGGTCTTCCTGGACGTGTGAGTGAGGCAGTGCCGCTCACCAGCGAGAACTGGAAGGCCACCGGTCTTTCGACGCCACTTGCGTCGAGAGATGGATGTGGCAGATATCTCTTGAGATTCGACCAATTAAGACACAGCACACAGGATGTAGCTGCTAGAGCACACCAGAATTTGTATAGTATGGTTTCCGTACGTATGGTGATTATCGTTTTGGATAGTTGATCTCAGCCTGCACCGAGCCCCAAAAAGGATGTATAATAATGTATAATATATATTTATATATGCACACATATTATTTTGTTTTTGCTATATGCATCGACACGCACACGTATTTGGCGTACAGAGTAAAACAATTGCAGCATGTAGGTGGAGAAGGTGCCCGCAGCAGGATGCAAACTGTTGAAAAGACGAGCAACTTCTGTATTTTTGAATACTTTGCAATTGCGGTGTTTCCGTGCGGGATTGGTGGATCTTTTGTTCAGGAGCAGGAGCATGTGTGACTAAACGCTTAATGTGACCACAGCCTACGTCTACCAGGTACCACGAACCAGCCTTTGAGGAAGGATATTAGCGCGTCTGAAATACCACGCAGAAACTTCCAAGACACAGTGAAGGGAGCGCAGCAAGACGACATGGTGAAGAACAGGGTCCTGTTGAACTTAGGGGGTTTGATGGTGCTCTTGCGCAGAATCGGCGCAGAAGCATGCGGCATATATTTGCAAGAAGGAGGATTGCAGGATGTTCTCACCTAAGCGAACACTTTTCGTTTGCTACATCAAGAGACCCCTATAGGTGCCCCTGCAGGTGAGCTACTTGCAAAGACCAAATATGTTCAAACATCATTGAATATCTACCTCCAGAATCGCGCCTGACCTTCCCCCCTCAGCCAGTACACATGCTTGAGCCAGATTTGGTTCAGGTGGGCTGCCGTGGTCGTTTCCATTAATTTGAATTGCTATGAAATGCCACAAGCCCCTTTTGTTTGATCCGGGATCGGCGAGCCCAGGATCGCTAGGGACTGCAAATGATTGATCAAATTACTGTATACCGGTATGCCAAAGTCTTTTTGATTGCACGCAGCCAGAGGCTTTTCTTCTCGCCCTTTTTTTGTGCAGACTGTAGCTGGGTTGGTGGCCGAGTGTCTTGCCCTAAGCCGGCTGACAGCCAGACTCGAATATGAGAGAGAGAGAGAGAGATTGAGCGACACAAGGACCCCTGTTCAATAGTACAATTAGTGTCCACTGACAGGTCATATATAGATTACATGTAATATTATAATAGACTAAATTCGGCTTGCAGTATCCAATCCGATCATAGGATAATCCTGTCCCTATGAGGATCATCACCTTCATCGAAGACTGCCATTGGATGTCTCATCTTTGGGCACCGCTCTTTCTTTCGCCAGGCCTCTCGAGCCTCCTTGGCCGCGACGCCTGGTAACGGGTCCGAGCCCCCAGTCAGCAAACGGACAGCAGTGGTGAAGCATGGCGTGTAGCGGGTGAGGGGCGGCGTGTAGCTAGGTGAGCACACACACACACGCCCAGCGGAACTCATTCCCTGACATGGCGATTCACACGTGGAAGGCAAAGTGCCTCCTTTCACGAATTGCTCCGGGATCCGGAAAAGGGTGACATTTGTCATGCGGCAGGGAGTGCGGGGCCATCGCGTTCTCCGACGATCCGACGATGAACAGAGTGTTTTTATCAGTCCCTGGAACTGCAATGGAAGTGGAAAACCATCTGCTCGTGGAGGATGCAGGGGCCATGCCACAGATAGAGTAGACTTCCGCCGCAAAGTCCTGGCCGGGCCGTTCGTCCGCACCGGCTGGGCGGTTCGGTGGTCCGAGGCCCGGAGTGTCCAAGCTGATCTCACCTCCAAGGAGTCCAAGAGGGGCCGGGGATCTCACGGAGTCCTTCGGAGGAGGTTGGAGCTTTGGGACAAAAAGGCCGGTAGGTGGGGAGTTGGGAGTGTATCATGCAAACATCGGATGAATTAAACCTATAGACCTTCTATGTGGGGGGTAGGTTTAATAATCCAGTCTTTGCATTAATGTGGGAGACCCCCCTGGTCCGGTTTGGTCTATTTCCCGAACCTTCCAGGGGGTCGAACTGGGAGGTCTCCACATTTCAATGCATTCCCATGTTGTAACAGTACAGCTGGTTCGGCAGCACATGGCATTTCCCCGGCCAAGTCCCAAGCTTTGGGTATCGCCGAGGGGTCTTTGCGTTTGCTCCAGAGGATGCTTTGTTTGGATGGGACCGGGGGGATGTGAAAGTCGAGGGTCAGTGTCTTCACGCATGAAGGGATTTGGTCTTGGATTGGACATGAGGCCGAGTGCTCAGACCAGCATTGTTGTGGAACATTGTGAAGAATGGAGTCATGTTTGAAGACGCAATAAATGCGAGCATCCGAATCCAAATCCCTAACATTTCCCTTTGCGGGCTGCATAGATTCTCCAACTTCTGGGTTTTATCTCAGCTTTGTGCAGTGCAGCTTGTGGTTTTAATGCTTATGAGTGTCAAGATGTGTCAAGTTCTGTTGGGGCTGTGGAACCGGCCTCATATGATGATATGCAAACACGCAACATCACGTTACATTCTTATGTGATCGACAGAGGCCATATGCAAAATGGCGCATCATGTTCCATGGGATTACATTGGATCGAATACGTTTGCTTTTTGGTGGGCGTCCTTGCTTCGGCCGTGCACTTGGTCTCATAACATCTATATGATCTCTATCTCTATATATATATATATCATAACCATATATATATATATATATTATCTCATATATTTGTTTGGGGATCCAACCCCGAGTCACTCGGTTTCTTCAAAGTCCTGGGCTCGGCCGTGGGCCATCCAATTGTGCTTCGCAAGAGCGAACACCATTTTGATCAGGACTGTGGCGGGTGGCGCGTATCGTGTGTTGGCGCGTCACGAGCGGGCAGGGCATGGGAGAATGATAACATAGCCATAGCGATTGTGTTGGTTGGCGACGGGCTGCACTGTCTATTTCTTTAGACACCAAACCCAGAGGCCGCCAGTGGCCGCGGCCCAGGCGAGCCCCACCCATGGCGGTGCGCAAACCCCACCCATGCCGGCTGCATGGCTGGGGCGCCCGGCTGATGTGTGCTTCTTTTGGAGTTCCCCTAGGTTAATCGCCATATCGTGAGGATGGGAGTTCACCACAGAATCTCGTCAAACCATAACGAAACATGGTGTTGTTCGGATCAGAGGACTCTTTGTGAGGAGATCAGCCCAACACGGAACACCCGCGAGAACGGTGTTTCTTTTGTTTTTTCCCGAAAGCACCTGCGAAGGGTTTTTCCTTAAGCACTGCTGCCTATTTCATCTTCCTTAATCTCTTTCTCTTACTTCATCTTCCCCACTCTCTCTTCCTTACTCTCTTTCTCTTACTTCATCTTCCCCACTCTCTCTTCCTGACTCTCTTTATCCTACTTCACCTTCCTTACTTCATATTCTTTACTAACTTTCTCCTACTTCACCCTCACAACATCATCATCTAATCATCACCTCATAGGTTATTAATCTCATATCATATCATATTATATCATATCAGGTTATAATATCATATCACATCACATCAATGCCATAACATATCATATCATATCATGTTTTAATATCATATCACATCACATCAATGTCAGATCATATCATCTCATATCATGTGATAAAATAATATCACATCACAACATAACATATGAAGTAGAAGTATCAGATCAACAATATCAAAGTACATCAGAAGTAGATATTGATAGGTAGGTATTGATAAGTGGGTATAGACAGGTAGGTGTAGGTAGGTAGGTGTAGATAGGTAGGTGAAGATAGGTAGGTGAAGTTGGGTAGGTGTAGACCCAACTTCACCTACCCAACTTCTTCTTTATTCTTCTCTTTAGGCGGCGGGGCGGTGCGAGCAGGTCTTACGAAACGCAACCCTCTCGTGGAATCGTGGCCATCGATCGCGCGCGCGTGTGGTGAGACGCGAATCGCGTTTGTCCGTGAGCAACCCTCTGCGGAGATCGTGCGTGTCGATCGCGCGAACGTGTGGTGAAACGTACATTTTTGGTGTGCGCGGTGCGTTCCGCCATTATAATTCTGGTGACAAGGTTTTGTCGATTTTGCGTTTCCCCATTGTAATTCTGGTTTCAAGGTTTGCCCTCGAGCAACCCTCTGCGGAGATCGTGCGTGTCGAGTGCACGAACGTGTGGTGAAACGTACATTTTGTCTGAGCGCGGCTGGGCGCACCATTATAATTCTGGTCACAAGGATGTCGCCAATGTGCGGTCCGGACCGCATACTCATTGGGAAATGCGATTCCAAGGTCTGTGCCCGGTCTGTGCCCGGATCGTTCCCCCATTATAGTTCTGGTCGCAATGATGTCGTGAATGTCACCTCTGAACTTTCTACAATGCGCGCTCTGGACGTCATACTCGTTGGGAACCGCGATTTCATGGTTTGTGCTCGGATCGTTTCCCCATTGTAATTCTGGTCACAACGATGTCTCCAATGTGTGCTGTGGACTTCATACTCGTTGGGAAATGCGATTTCATGGTCTGTGCCC